TGAAAGAGAAAAGTTACGTAATTCCAAAGCGATAGAATCAAGTCTTCTATAAATCTGTCAAACTGTCAGTTGCTCAACTATTTTACTGACCGTGAAGTTATCAGCAGCTGTCGAAAAAAACACGAGTTTCAATAGGTTAAAGAGCATTTACTGTTGTTTGCTAGCTAAATCAAACAAATGATGCTGTTTGGTTTGCTGACAGCTTTTCAACGGATGTCAACGGCTCGACCGCTAGTCATGACATTCACACTAAACGATGTTGAAATAAATCCTGAATCTCCCCACAACAGAAGAGGATTATTTTTTCTTTACTAGACAAGCATTTAGAGCGGCAGTGTGAATCATCGACTGAATGAACGAAAAAATTGAAGTGGAAGTTTGAATTTGGTTTACAGCAAACCTTAAGGCTAAGAAGTTCACCATCAGAACACTTAGAATCTCAACCAAACTATTCTTTTCCTTTTGCTTTTTCTTGATTGTTCGCATGCTCTGCTCCTTAGATTGACGTTAATAAGGTTTTTTTGGGTTTACCCACTATTGATGGTGCGCTCATTGTTTTAATTTCAAAAGTTTTCATCGGCAAAATCGATTGAAGCAAGTTTATGCTTCGGTAAAAATAAAATAAACAAAGAAACAAGTGAGATTAATAAGTGATTAATAGCTGACAAAGTGAGTTATAATAGCATTCAATAGTAGAATTGGGTCATCAGAAGAACTAGTCATACTGTCGCTGTATTGTCACTATTGCTTTCTCATTCGACTATTGTTCACATTTCAGCCTAATTCGTTTCGACGTCCGACTTCATTTCATTGCCACTCGTTAGATACATTTCCGTTTTGTTCAGAAATGACTCCGAGCTCCTTCTCGTTTTCTAGACAAGTTATTTCAACGCATTCGCGACCGTTAATTGGAGCATTAATTTCGATATCAGTCCATATTTCCCCCACTAAAAAAAATGGGAAAGATAGAATTCGCTAGACTTCTTGGAAACATCGTTGAATTGTTCATTTCGTAGAAAATGATGTGGAAGGAAAAAAAAGGAATTACGGCCAAAAAAACATTCCAGTTGATTAGGCCTCCTTACCAGAATTGTTTTGCTAAATAGGAGGTTGTTATCTTCTTTCACGTCAATTTCTTCTCTAACTTTAAAAGCCAGGAAATCTATTTACCACACTAATATTGAAGGTTACCAATTTTCTATGTTTTAACATGAGCACTACAGCAAGCTGGCATCTAATAAGTTACAAACTTGAAAGTGGAATATCTTTGAATTTGAAGTGGCGTGATTTTTATTTACGTTTTTATCATTTTGTCATTATTTACTTATAATATTGATATGAATTTATATAATTTACTCAACTTATGATCTATTCATAACTTATTATTTATAGTATTATCATTAATCATTATTTTGTTCTATTACTATTTGTTCTTAGCTAAGTAAGCTAACTAGCTACTTATCTATTATTTTGAAACATTAGGCACAGAAGTTCTAGTCTAATAGCTGTGATTGAGTATGGAAAACATTCACTATCTGCTATTTATATTTATATAATATTAAGTGTTTTTAGAAAGACATAGATTTAATTTCAAAAAAGTCATACTGTAGTATCAGAAACTTGTTAAAAATAAAGATTCAAGAAAGCAAATCTGATGAGAAATGAGAAACGGACATTGAAAAAACTGATGAAGAGAGTAATTTATTGTCATTAGTGCAATTAAATGATGTGCTATTATGTTTTAGAACTTGACGATTAATGTGTGCAGATAAAATTGACAATCAAAGTTGAACCACTGCATTTGAAAAATGCGTCCGCTGAAAAAATAGCTTCTTTTTCTCAATTCCTCCTTTAAGAAGATAATCTCGTTCTACCATATTCTATGTGATTGGCATGTTATGCCGTTCGTTTTGCGACATTTGTGACGGTCAACAAGCTATGTGTATTCCCAGAGATGTCGTAAACAAGCGAGAACTTCTCGTATTTGTTCCATCAAAAACCACTCCAGTAGCCAAAGCCGTAGGCTATGAAAAAAGTGTATGTCAATAACTGCAAATACGTTTTTTCTTTGAGAAGCTTGGCGTGGAATCATATCGATATATCAAATTGCATGGTCCCCGTATTCATACCTTAGCTCAAGTGTCCCAAGAGTGTGACCACCCGCTCTAATTTTTCGTGGAGCTGGACTAATATTAATTGGTAGATCTTAGATTTTTATACTTACTGATGAGATGCTTAGTGAAACTTGGTCAGAGATGATGTGTTATAGACCCAAGGTCGCTGGTTCGACCTCGCGCTGCAAGCTTAGCAAGTCTTCCACCTCCGGGAACACAAAAATCGGTGACAGACTTTTCGAGAGGGTAGGAAACACTAGACTGCTTGTCATCTTAAGTTAAAGTTTACACTATAGATGCTATCGATCAGCCGACCACCTCCACGACGCTTGACGAAATCGAATGCTTGGAGTATCCCTAAGGAATTGAGCGAGAACGAAAAAATTGTCCTATGTCCTTCCAATGATAAATATTTTAGCTGTAGTCGTTGAAAATTTTTGCAGAAAAAAAACTAATTATGCGATTTAATCGTGCTTACTCGTTTAGGTCTTTTTTTTTATTTTCTATTGCGTTACAGAGGAGATCTAATTTGATGTTGACTTCGACTTACTAGGCTATGTCGTTCATCGTGTACGAACGATTATCTAAGCTTGAAAAGATTTTCACATTCTCATACGGATACCCAACTAAACCACCGTAAGCCAAACTAAGCAATTACAGCGCCATGCTCGTGAAAACTTCTTAATCGACAGCAACAGACCTCTCCATTACAAAAAAGTCGGAGGGCACATTGTGTTGAGAAGAAGTTGACAACGGCCTGGCACAGCATTTTCAAAGTTCCAAAGAAGGGAAAAAACTTTCTCAATCGCCCGTATTGCTTTAGTGAAAATTGTTTAAGGATCTGAAGGATTTGTGAAGACGAATAGTGCAAATGCATAAGTAGATATCCATCTTGTGTCCATCAGTTTGCCTATTCATGCCCCTCGATGGCTTAACACTTAGCAAATAGAGCCATCGCCTAGACCGAGTATTATGGAAACTGATAGGCTGGATTAATTCGAGTGTGCTCTCAAAGACATATTCTAAAATTATGCCAAGATCTTCTAACAAAATGCTGTCTTGTTTAGAGGTGGTGCCTAATCAATAATGTATAGCTCAATTGATATTAATTAAACCGCTTTTATTCAATAAAAAGAAGAAGAAAAAAACTTCGGATCCCAAGAACCAAGCTCTTATTCTCTTATGCCTACACACAGTCTCCCGTACAAATTTGCTCAGAGTAGAGGTAGACCGACATTGGAAGATTTATTTCTTCTACAATGCTGTGCAACTTTTGTGGATATTTATGGATATCCGGTAAGTTCAAAGCGGATGCAATAGACACATTAGCAGTAATGCGTTGATGAGACACGTCCATGCCAATCATTCCTCATCAAACCAATCAACTTGTTGACACACTGAGTCTTCTTCACTATAACCGACTCACTATTGCTATAATGAATTGAACGGAGAACAAACGTGAATGAGGCTTATTTATCCCATTAGAAAGAATAAAGATCTTTCGTAAACATACATGACGAGCGAATTCGGCCAAAGATGTTCAGGAATGTAGCGCAATCAGGGTGAATATCAATAAAAATGCTTTATTATAATATCAATGATAAGGTGCAGAGAACTCCTATCGTATTGTGTGGAGTAATAATTTTTACAAATAAATTTTGTGCGATTTCAAGCTCATTAGAAAGCTCGTTTTTTGCGAATCGAACGCTATATCATTTGCCTACAGTCTCCAGAATGGAACGAGATAAATTCGTCTGTTGCCACACTTCCTACAAATTGTTTGTCAACGCTTCTGAAGCTCTTCGACAAATCTGCAAGGCGTAGTATGGAGACGAAATATGCGGTGTTCGTACAGCTTAGTGTTGATTCAAGACTTTCCGTTCAAAGGAGAGCATTGATTGACAAGCCAAGAGAGGGACGTCCACGAGAAGTCGAAGTTGGCTGACGACCTTGTTTGTGATCCAATGACGAATTGTCTTGATGTGGAAGGAGACTACTTCGACTATTCATTTGTCCCTTGTCAAGTTTCCTGTCTCTTCCCACAGTTTCGTTTTATAATTTGAAAAAGCCACACTTATATATGAGTGTGAACAAATACGTTACCAGTGAACTGGGGTTCACCTCCGCTTTATACGACTTCATATCGCCAGAAGAGTGAATATGTTGTCTAAATTTTCTACTAACACAATAGTTACAAGCTAATCCTGAATAGGGAAGTCCCTATGTGTGGAAGCGGAGAAGGAGGATTTCTACATTCGCTATCGTTTCAAACCTCTCAAATACAATATTTCGCTCCCTAAGGTTTACCAGAACAGAAACAAATACAAAGAATCTAGCAATATAAACTTCAGTTGAAAATCGTGACAACCTAGTTTTGCCTTCAAACTCATAAGAAAAAGAATTCTACTCAAGAAAAAAAAACAGAATGGTGGAATAGAAAATTTGTGCAATTTTTCTTCATTCGTGAAGAAAAATCATCAAAGTGTAGAGTAAGTAGGCGAGAAATTCACAGTATATGTTTGTATGATTCAAATGAATAATCGGAAAGCTGCAAGGAACACAAATTATCCCGACTAAACAAGTTTTCGCAACGCATTTAGCCGGCAGAATTTGCTAAAATTCTTCTAACATACAGTTCTCAAACGTGATCGTAGAAACCCTAAGACGTGAGGACGATTTCACCAACAACTCATAGCTGAAGGCGACAAGTACCAACGTTCTCTACAAAACACATGAAATTATCAGCAACAGAATAGAATTCTTAAGCAGTGAACTATTTTCCGCGCCCTCTTCTCTCGAAAAACGGAACTGTTAAGAACGAGAGCAGTACCACGATCTACTTACTCTACATTCTTGTAGGTAAAGTTTATGAAAAGCCTATTAGGAGCGTCGGTAGCGCAATGGTTAGCATACGCCTCCGGAAAGGGCGAAATGAGGGTTCGAACCCCGTTTGTCATTCAGAAATTTGTCTGTCACTCAATTTCTTGAATGACTCAACTGTTTACAAAATGGCACGATACTCAGTACAAATATTTCAAACATTACTAGTCACTTAATTCAATCAGTCCTAAGTAAAACTACTGAACTAAGAGAAGATGCTCAAGGCGTTTTGGTTGAAGCCGAAGTGGTGCACCTCGTCAAACTGAGAAAGATGGCTCATTGACGAAGGATATGTAGCGTGAAAGAATGAGAAAGAATAATGAATGGGTCATCTTTCTATAGAAACCATCTTTGATATGTAGCGCGAATATTACAATAAGTGGAAAATAAGGGTTCGCCTCTCTTTATTCATCTTTTTCAAACTAAATTTTAGGTCATGTAGAGCTTCATTCGTTGAGACATATCACATAAAGACAGAACTTACTATTGACTTGCGATTTTTACGATTCTTTCGCAGAAAAAACATTCTGTCACCATCGGCGATCATGGAGACCCGCTTTGGTCGAGGAGACCGTAGATGAAGCTTCTGAAAAGCAACATAGCTGTAATTCATCAGTAGAAGGCAAAAATTTAGTTGAAAACTCATCTGTATGAAGCAAACTTTAATATCAATTTTGTTATATGTCTTATTAGTGTTTCCGCTACATATTAGGCTTATTTTTCAACTTTGTTGATATGAACAGTGGCTCAGATTAGTGATAGAAATGACATTTCAAAATCATGTGTTCGAGGCTACAACCTACCGATTTAGACCATACAATTCCTCAGCTTCCAGTTACAATTGTGCTTATGAACAAAGTCTTAGTGAGTTTTTATTTCGGCACTTTTCCTTTATCCGCACCATTCTCACCGTTTGGGAACAACGCGTTTCTTGCTTTTTCAGAGCTTTAGTAGTCATTTGAAAGCTCCAATCTCAATATTTTCAATAGTGTACTTCATTTCAGAAAAGGTTTTTCACAATGCATCTGTAATAGTTTAATAAAAATATATTTCATACTCAACGCGTTTATGCGCGTATTTCTGTCATTTATCTGAGAATATTCCCCCGTTTCGTAGAGATTCTTAGGCTTTTTCCGTTTTAATTACAGAAGAAGCTTTGTGCTACTGTCATGTGAGTATAGGTCCTTCATTTCCATTTTTTACTGTCAAATGAAGCCGCCAAAAAGTCCAAGCTAAGTTAGATTAAGCAATCCGACCCTCTACAAAAAACCATATTTATTCTGTTTTGTAAGCAACTCTAGATAAAAAAAAACCTTTGTTTTGATACCTAAGGATTTCCTCTACGCGTTCAAACCTTAAATTCAATAACAAAATCGCGCTCCCCTTGTGAGTTGCGTTGCGCAATCAATCAGCTATCGATACAGGATCACTCACACGAATGCGCTCGATTTCAAAGCCCAATCTATTTTGTCTGCAACAGCGCGATAAGAAGATTTTTTTTTTGAAATACTAGGAGAGAAGCTCTACTTAATAACTGTATGTGAAAGATAATTTTTTATTACTAAAGCGCCCTGAAAAGGCCACTTCAGAAAAAAAGTAAAGCTCAAAATTGCCAAAAATCAGACTATATAATGACTACTAAACTCTAAAAAAGAAGGAAACGCGTTGTTTCCAAAGAGTCTAAAATGGGTGCAGACCAAAGAAAACCGCGTTCCTCTCAAATTCATGGATTCATGCATTGATAGTAAAAGCTGTCGTGTAACATATACCCATCAGCTGTATTGACCAACCGCTGAGCAAACGAAGTCTTTCTTCGCTCAATAGTCAACAAACTGACTTCCATGGGAGAAACAATCATATTCCCATTGTGATAGACTAGCAGGAATTGTAGGCGAATCTTTCCCTATTCATTAAGGCCGACAATCCTCTTCAATATGAAAACTGGGAGCACTATACAACTAGCAGATTTAGCTCACGATATTGGAGAAGAAAATTCTATCAGCATTCAAGGAATTCATGAAGAAGACAAATTCTTCAAGCGGTAGCCGAAACTACACGCAAAATTCAAAAACGTTCGTCGTTGATGGCTGCGAGGAAAACGAACAGAATGCAAATAATGCTGTGATTAGCGCAAATGTGAAGCCGCCAATATAAAAAACCAAAGTTTACGTACACAAGGTATTTCAATGACTAGAGAATGGTGGCAAAACGGGAGTCAGTAGTGCAATGGGTTAGAGCAAGCGTTCCCCTATAGAGTGAGATGCGGGTTCGAGTCGCGCCAGACGCGAAAGTTTTGCACATTACTCCGCATCACTGGGTAAAATTAAAGAGTCATAAAAACAAATGCTCGTGTGACCTCATGCGGTGAATGTGAAGAATTTAAATACTCTGGCGATAATCTAATACTATGGTTGAGCTATTCAGCAATGATGTATTGAACATTCAAGGCGTTTTTCCTTCCAAGAGCACCGATGAACTTATCAGTCAAGGAGATGCGAAAAAAATGTCAATGTTCTTTTGAGATGACTGGTGGATCCGAAAAATTTCCATAGCGAATTTTTCTTGACGACAATAACATGCACCGTTTTAATCACAACTGTCGCTACTTATAACACCTCTGCATTCATTATGACTGAGTTGATTTTACAAAGCGGTTTCTACTATGCTGTGTTCGACCACCTTTTCCTTTTTTTCTAAACAAGCTCTCTTCCTACCTAAGATTCTATCGCCGGCTGGAGGTCTTACAGATCTCATCAGAGATAAGGAAGCACTTTTTACTCCGAACTTCCTTATTTACAGCATTTTTCTACATCCACTACGTTATGTCGTGACTGAATCCATTTACAAGGATATGCAAAACCGACGCAATCAGTGTTTGAGCTGTTTCATAACTTTATTGGCTTACACCACCTGTCTTTCACATCTACTATATGGATCTCAGAAAATCCTGCATGCAATCCGTCTCCGTGCATCCATCATCTACGACGATCTTTATGTGCTCTTGCATGGGTTCACTCAGTGTTTAAGGGATTATCGCCGTTGAATGCTGATTAACTCGATTCTCTTTGAAGCCCTAGGATAGCCAGGACAAAGCGTTCATTCGGGCTGTAAGGATCCGAGGCTCCGCTATTAACTTCCCGATCGAGAAAGAATAACAGATTTGATGATTTTAAATAAAGTTGATTCGCCTTGAAGGCATTAGGCGAGCCTTTTATTGAGCAGCTGCAAAAATGTTCAGGGTTTATGAATCGCTTGATAAGACGTCATGCCTTCTTCTGTTTGTAACATCGTTGACTCGGTTGAATGTATATTTGACATTCCCATTGAACTCCAATGGTCTACCGATGTATCAAGTCAGTTTTTGTCCTCCAATCGGTTTAAGTTTTCAGTTCAAATGGACTCATGGCTTAGTATCTCCGTGATACGGATCAGATCAATAAAGATCAATTTAATACACAGCACCTCTAACCACTGCACTCCGAGGACCAACATCGTACCAAAGTTTAGCACATAAATGAGTACGGCCTAGTTAAACGCCGTAGCCGAGTGGTTGTAATGTTCGTCACGACGTGCGTGGAGTGGAGCTCCACTCCCCCCCCCCCTCCCCCCTTCACCCACCTCTCTCCGGCAGTCAACAACAACGTCCTATGGAACGCCACAGCAAGGCTATCCTCGAAATTTTCAAGGAGACACGCTCAACCAATATTCTACGCGGTTCAAGAAGAAGACGAAAAACGATTTGAATGCTAGAAGTATTGGGATCCGCAGAGTGGAAAAAAAACACTGTGATGACGGATGAAATGAAGTTTACAAAATAGCTGAGCATACAGGTTGTTATGAAGAAGACGAGCCAATAGAACAGCTTTACACACTGCTTTCCACTACTTAGACATTGGTACAGCAAATTGTTTAGGGTTACACTCATCACTGTAAGTATGGCCATGCAAGTTACCCATGAATAATTAGTATGAATTATAGCAAGAATATAGTCGCACCATTTCGCTGAAACTGAATATTCTTCGCTTTGGTAGACGAGTACGACGAGGCTACTAGAATCTCTGAAACATTTTGAGCCGTCAAAATCTTGGGCGGTATAGTCATCTCCACTTAGGACGCAAATAATCACGCCAAAAACTTTCATTAGAAATCTTATGGAATAAGATATGAAGATCGAGAATAATATCATTCGACTGGACCATTACGTCGCGAGAGAAAAACCCTTCTCAAATGACGCGATGGTTGAGGAGTTATCGAAGTTGGTATCTTTGTCAGCATGTGCTAGCGGAGTTGATGTCTTCATCAACAGTGGCTCAGCTTTTCGGGATGAGATTGAGGCATTTTATTTAGCGCTGGAAAAACTCAACGAGAACGATTACGAACGTCAACAGAGCGATCGGTAGTGTCATTTAAACAATAACGGGCTCAGGGAAACGTCTAATGAACTTTATAACCGAATCCACTTTGATAATTAGGAATGACAGATGTTGGGGGCTTATGAATTAATGGTGGCAATTATCTTTTTAAAAAAAACTCAGAGATGAGAAAGAAGTGTTGCACTCGCTGTGTAAAAATCCTAATCTTCATAGGAAGGTGATCACGTGTTGCTGACAATATCGTATTGGAAAGAGGCTCCTTTCTGAGTTTCGTTGGATTCTAGGACTCTATTCATACTCAAAGGAACTACCATTTCTGAGCGCCGCAGCAATGTTTACTTGGGTCTGGATATCAACTTGATTGATGGCTCAATCACACAGCTGAGCAAAAAGGAATCCAACAAGCTAGGGAACTTGTAAAAAGATCGCGAGCACAGTGAAAAACATTCGGTTGCATGTTGATCTCTATGATTCTCCCTTAATTTCATCGTACGCTTCAACAACCAGTTTAATTTGACTATAATCGGTGAGACACAACTTGGTAGAGATTAGTCCCACGCGATGTCGACAGCGCCACATAAAAACCATTGATTTGGTGGCCGTATTCACTCAAGAAGTTGCTTGACGATAAGTACACTACTTATCGTCTCTTTCAAACGAAAAGAGTAAACTAGGAAGCTTGTACACAGCAATAACGAGTAGTGA